AGGACAGTAAGTTACAAACACACACACACACACACACACACACACACACACACACACACACACAGATGAGACAGATACAGAGGAGATTACAAACACACACACACACAGATAGAGACAGTTAGGGGACAGTAAGTTACAAACACACACACACACACACACACACATACACACACACACACACACACACCAGATAGAGACAGTTAGGGGACAGTAAGTCACACACACACACACACACACACACACACACACACACACAGATAGAGAGGACAGTAAGTCACACACACACACACACACACACACACAAGCTCCTCGGCGTCACCATAGACAACAAACTAAATTGGAAACCACACGTCAGTGAAGTTATCAATCCTCCAGTTTCCGTCTCCACATCCTCCGCCGACTCAAGTCCCTCGGAGTTCCTGCACACAGGCTCCTCAGTGTTTACACAACATTCATACTTCCTACGCTCACCTACCTCCCCCACCTAGTCTTCCTCCTAAATGCCACACAACGTAAACACCTAGAAAAAGTGCAAGAGGGCATGCAAGATTATTCTCTCCCTTCCTACTCCACATATCAAGAACGCTCAACACACTGACCCTTTCGACTCTCACTGACCATCACCACGACCTCATCTGCAAATTTGGTAAGCTTCTACACCATCCCCACACCGGCTCCTACTACCACCTGAGATCCCTTGTCCGAGAATTGCTGTTCGACACCACAACCGCATCCAGCCCATACGTGCACGAACTGATCGCTATAAGAACAGCCCAGTCCCAACCATTGTAAAATTATCAATAACTTGTAATAAATCAGTGTATTCACTCCCAGTAAACACTGCTCCTTACACTATCACTATGTTGAAATGAACTGTAGTTTGAGGTTTTCCCCATCTAAGTTACTATATGTCTTATTTGTGTCACTTATGTTACTTGTATATTATTTGTAATTCGTAACCCATTCCCCAAATATGTAACTGTATATTTTCAGCCTTCTGGCTGCCAAGCTCTTTCAATAAACCATTAATTATTTATTATTATTATTTATAGAGGACAGTAAGTCACACACACACACACACACACACACACACACACACACACACACACACACACACACACACACACACACACACACACACACACACACCACACACACACACAGATAGAGACAGATAGAGAGGACAGTAAGTTACACACACACACACACACACACACACACACCACACACACACAGATAGAGACAGATACAGAGGACAGTAAGCGACAGACAAAGGCACATTGACAGATATGTAAATAAAGAGAAAGACACAAACAGATAGAGAGAGACAGATAAAGAGGGGCAGAGTAAGTATCACACGTCAGATAAATCGTGATAATAAAGTAATTAAAGATAATCACCCCCTGAAGGCGAGTCAATATGCCGTCATCTTCTTCCTCTTCTTCTTCTAGGAAAACCAATTCCCGTCGTGTTCCAAAACTCCACCACTTCCCCTCTTCCACGTCACCGACAATCAAGCCTTCATCGTCTTTTTTATTCAGGTCAATAAAGAGTCTTCGGGGCGAAAATGCTTGCAATTTTAGTAAGTTTTTAAAAAATTAGTCATTTTTTTCCCATAATTTTAACTGTTCCAGTGTTATTAATATCTCCGCTTCCGTCATCGACAATAGAGACTTCATCTCCATATTCATTTCGGTCACTAGTTTTGTCGGCAAATAAGAGATTGTTTCTTTATTTTTTATGCTTTCCGTGTTCCATTATTATTAACGACTCTGCTTCCGTCACTACCAGTCAAGTCTCCAACAACATCGTTTCCTATATTTTATTTTATTTTTTCTGTTTTATCTAACATCAATTAAAATAGGTTCCAATATTATCAGCGTCTCTCGCCCGACCATCGACAATTGAGTCTTCATCGTCTATTTACCCGAGAAAATAAAGAACAAGGTAAATATTTTTCTTATTTTGTGGGGAAAACTTTGCGAAATCTGTTTTAATTCTTCAATGATATTGTCTATTTAGTAATAATTTTACATGTATTTGTTTATTTATCATTTTTTTTGTGTATTTGCATCGCTTATTCAGGGTTCTCAGCTCTAGCAATTGGCTAATTCTCCTTCGGGTACTATAAACTCTTCATCATTCTCTCTGCCATCGCCATAAAGGTAGCTTCGTGATGAAATTTTTCGTAATGTCGGCAATATATTAGTGATTTGGGATCAATTAATGGCTATAACAGTATTATTTTTAGTCTTTTACGATTCAAAATACGTTGCAGTGATTACATTAGGTTATTGTTCACTTGACGTATAATAAACTCTTCATTGTCTTCTTGACCATAGCAAAAAGCTTATTCTTGGAACGAAAATTTTTCCAAAATTATCTTAAATATATAAATGTGTATCATTTTTCCTCTTTCTAATGTCGTCTTTTGATGCTCTACCTGTCAGGAATTCACGGTGTGTTCCAATACTCGCGTGAGGGTTCTGTCCACACCAGAGACCAAATATTCTTCAAAAACCAGCCATTAGGCTGGTAATTATCTATAATGAACAATAATTTCGTAAATGAGTATTATTAGTATCCCTTTTCAATGTTTTTTCTTCCTATTATTTTTTACGATCTTGCAGCAATTCATGATGATGTTTCAATACTCACGCAAGGCTTCTGTTCATGTCAGAAAGAATAGTCTCTTCATTATATTTTTATCTCCATCAAACACAACGAAAAATATATTCGATAACTACTAAGTAGAGGAATATTATTTTTTATCTTGTAGTTGTTGTTTTTTTTTCAATTTGGTTCCAATACTCGCTGGAGGTCACCTTGCACACCATGTACAATAAACTCGTAAACGCACCATTAAAAACTAGCCATCTGGACAAAACTTCATTTATTTCATAAGATCTTTTTAAATTAGTCTTCATTTAGTATTAGGATGATTATGTTGTCCAGCCAAAACTTATAGTTCAGTACTATGCGTCTCTTTATGCCACATACACCAAACTCTTCAACAAAGACAACAACAAAAAATGGTACACTGAGTCAAAATATATTAATTATATTTTGAGAGTCTTTATAAATCAAGCGTTTCCGTATTTACTGTAAATTTATGCAGCTGTATTTAACAATGTGTTTAATATTCGCTTTGTCTGGTTGAGACAATTAAGTATTGAGCAAGGTGTGCCGCCGTGACAACCTGGCCTTGGTAATGAAACTTATGTTGTAGTGATAACATCTTGGAAAATGAGTCTAAGTCACGTAGGTAATATTCTTTTTTCTGGGCTAATATCTTCATTATTCATTATTAATAACCCTCGTGTTCCAATACCCGCGAAGTTTGTCTCCGCGTCAGGTACAACAAACTCTTCAGCCATATCGCTCCTGCCATCAAAATAGCGCGAATTCTCTGTTATTGGGAGTTCCTAGCAAACGAATATTATTTTCTTGTAATAATCTTATTTTCATTTTACAGGTATGTCCCAGAATAATTTTTTTTCTACAGGTTCCAACGTTCTCTTCGGGCTTCTCTTCCCACTTGGTATAATAAACTCTTCAACATATCGTCCACCTTATCAAAAGCTGCGAGAAATCTCCTTTTTAAAAGAAAAAACTTCTTAATAATTGAAAATTACCCTTCCTCTCTTTATTTAATTCAGTCATCAACCACTAATGATCAAAGAACAATTTCAATACGAGATTGAGATTTATGTCCCCTTTCCTTACCCTGCCAACCAATTATCTTTAATAATAATACCAACAAAATCTTGGTAAAATAAACTTATTCTAATTTTATTAGCTTTTACAGACCATCAATAATGTACGACGTGTTCCAATACGGGGGCGCCCCTGAGGTATCCCCTCCAACCAGATATAACAAACTCTTCATATTTTCTGTTCTGCCACCGAAATTGGATAATAATAATAATAATAATAATAATAATAATAATAATAATAATAATAATAATAATAATAATAATAATAATAATAATAATAATAATAATAATAATAATAATAATAATAATAATAATAATTATAATAATAATAATAATAATAATAATAATAATAATAATAATAATAATAATAATAATAATAATAATAATAATAATAATAATAATAATAATAATAATAATAATAATAATAATATCCTCAATTGATGCTACTTTCCACTATCCATCAACAACTTCACAATATATTTCAACTGGCATTTTAGTTGTCACCCAACCTTAATATTTTCTAACCTAGCAACACAAAACCTCGTAAACTAATGTGAGAGTTAATAAAAGATAAAATATTCTTGACATGGCATTAGTCTCTACCGTCTGTCAATAATTCACGAGTTGTTATATTACGCACCTGAAATCTCTGTGTGTGTTAGGTAAAATAAACTCATATTTTTACATGAAAAACTATAACCTAACCTTACCTTACCTAATATAATTAAATCGAACTTAACATAGCATAAACTAACTTAAGTATAACTTAACTTAACCTGGCCTAATCCAACCAAACCTAACCTTACATAGCATAACATAATTGCTGTAATTTAATCGAACTAAAAATAGCATAACCTAACCTAACTATAGCTTACATGAACTCAATATCCTGAACTCTAACTAAGAACACTATCTCCCTGTATCTGACACTTATACGTCCCCGTAAGTCAATACCATATCCTTGAAACTTGTAATTCACCAGCTATAACCTATAACTTACCTCTATAACCTGTAATTCACCAGCTATGACCTCTAACATACCTCTATAAACTGTAATTCACTAGCTATGACCTCTAACCTACCTCTATAACCTGTAATTCACCTAATTCACCATCTATGACCTTTAACCTACCTCTATAACCTGTAATTCACCTAATTCACCAGCTATGACCTCTAACCTACCTCTATAACATGTAATTCACCAGCTATGACCTCTAACCTACATCTATAACCTGTAATTCACCAACCATGAACTCTAACCTACCTCTATAACCTGTAACTCACCAGCCACGACGTGCAGAGTAAGGTTGGCTGGAGAAGCCTTGTGAGGTTCACATCTATATGCACCAGCGTCGTCCCAAGTAACATCGGCCATAAGGAGTGTGCTACTATAGTGGTGTTTGAGGACCCTGAGTGGCCGCCGGGGGGCATAGTTGATCATACTACCATTGTGGAACCAGAAGATGAAGGCTGGGGGTTGGGTGGCTTGCAGGACCGAGCAGTGCAGACGTAGGCTGACCCCCGTCTGGACATGGACTTCTGGCGCCCCCTGGAGTATTGCCCTGGCCTCTGTCAGGTAGTGGGGTTGGGGTGAGTCTCTCTTTCTCTCTCTCTCTCTCTCTCTCTCTCTCTCTTTCTCTCTCTCTCTCTATCTATATATATATATATATATATATATATATATATATATATATATATATATATATATATATATATATATATATATATATATATATATATATATATATATATATATATATATATATATATATATATATATATATATGCAAGTAAATCACTGTAGGTGTAATTCAATTGACAGTAGGAACATTATAGAATCCAGTCTCATTAAACATACGGAATCCGTCAACATGAATTTGAGTAATGGTATGTACAAACTGGATAATTTCGTAATTAAGAAGATTTGTAACCAGGTGAGAAGGTTGGGTCATCTTACCCTCTGACCTGACTACCGACTGCTGCGGTGCTTTTTGAAGATTAGTAGGGTCACTACCTAATACCTGACTATTGTGGACTTGATCTCACCTTCCTCTACTGTATATATATTTGCCTTGTTATGTATTTCTCCTTAGTCTGTACTCACCCCTGAAGATGTGAATTACACGAAAGCGCTTGGGAACTTCGTGTTTTCTTTTTCCTTGTGGTTATCAGCATATATATATATATATATATATATATATATATATATATATATATATATATATATATATATATATATATATATATATATATATATATATATATATATATATATATATATATACTTCATTTTTAGTCCATATAACACGCAGACTTTGAACATATAATCAACTACCTCACCAGCCAGGACTCGAACCCTCGACCTACTGCATGGGACTAAGGAACGTTACCAACCAATACCACAAGAGCACTGAAGATGTCTTGAATAGTGACGAAAGCTAAGGAGCTCCATTGTTTCTCTTTTCCCTGTGTGATTTTATCTATATATATATATATATATATATATATATATATATATATATATATATATATATATATATATATATATATATATATATATATATATATATATATATAATCAACACAAACGAACATATTACGTATTGAAAAAACACTTTTCGGTACAACCATTAATAATGGTAAGTGTTGCAGCAGTTCTCCTGGAGTTAAGTGCGGGAATTTCGCGGGAAACTGAGATGATTTCGAGGGAAAGTTAGCGAATTTCGTCGGTAAAGACGGTAGGATTATGCATAGAAAGTGGAGCTTGAAAATTTGGATAAGCACTATAGAAAAATTACACGGGTATTATTAGAAGTATTATGCGGGAGAATTAGAAGAATTACGCTAAATAAATAAAGAATATGCGCGAGAAAAGTGTAAGAATTGTATTGTAAATTTACAAAAGTTGCGTTTAGAAAAAATTGCATTAAGAAAATAAACATGAAAAGTGTTAGAATTACGTGGTAAAATTAAGAACGTGGTGAAGCGGAGGAAGAAACAGGAAAATTGCCCGAAGAAAGTAGGAGAAATCCACAGGAAAATGTGTGAAAGGAAAAGTTACAATTAGAGAATTCTCAAATTGCTCTTCTTCGTTAGTCGACGCGAGATCTGTGTAATCACTTCTCGTCTGGCGGAAGTAATGGCTTGCCCTCGGCACTGCTGGCACTAGTGAGAACACATGAAGGTCATTGCCAGTGTGAAGGTTCACGGCACTGCTGGCACTAGTGATAACACATGAAGATCAGTGCCACTGTGGAGACATCTATGTATTATTCACCTCAAGGGGCCATAGTTTCTTAACTACGACTTACAGCGGTTTAAAACCACGTTAACGTATTCCCTCTAAACTACGACTTACAGAAATTTAAAACCACGTCAACATATTCTCTCTTAACTACGACTTACAGCAGTTTAAAACCACGTCAACATATTCTCTCTTAACTACGACTTACAGCAGTTTAAAACCACGTCAACATATTCTCTCTTAACTACGACTTACAGCAGTTTAAAACCACGTCAACATATTCTCTCTTAACTACGACTTGCAGCAGTTTGAAACCACTTCCAAACACACACCTAATATTGTGCACCTTAGTTCACAGTTAAGGAAGTGAAAGAGGTTGAGTACAGTGCCGGTCATGTTACCCCCTTTTGTATCCACACTGTCCCTCTCCGCCCGTCATGGCTATGGGACCAACTTTTACTTTTAAATAATGGTCGACTTTTTCCCACTACGTATGGTAGTAACACATTGCCTGTTTTTTCTCCAATATTTGTGTATTATTTAATATATATATATATATATATATATATATATATATATATATATATATATATATATATATATATATATATATATATATATATATATATATATATATATATATATATATATATATATATATATATATATATATATATATATATATATATATATATATATATGTATGCTGATAACCACAAGGAAAGAAGAAAACACAGTTCCCAAGCGCTTTCGTGTAATTCACATCTTCAGGGTGAGTACAGACTGTACTCACCCCTGAAGATGTGCAATTGAAACCTTTCAGTGATTTACTTGCATATATATATATATATATATATATATATATATATATATATATATATATATATATATATATATATATATATATATATATATATATATATATATATATATATATATATATATATATATATATATATATATATATATATTTATTTATGTATTTATTTATAATGGTACCTCTAATGCACACACACCCACACACACACACGCACACACTTCTAAGTTTTGTTTTCTCCTAACATCACATCTTCTCAAGGTAGAGTCTCAAATCACATTAGATGTCATATAAATTTTCGCTACTGTAGCTGAAGTGAGAGAGTTAAGTACTGTGCACTTTTGCAATTACAGTTACGGGAGATATTTAACATAAGAATCTTTGAGAGTCCACCATTGCGTGTTAGCTCCAGTGATCTAGTCAAGAAGGCCCTTACAAGTACTGTTTTTAGAACAGTTTAGTTTAAGAACATTTGCAGCTGAAGTTAGTCGGTTAAGTATATACGTTCTCATGCCTAAAGTTAATGACCAATTTAAGTTAAGAACATTTGTCTTTTAATGAACCAGATACGGTAATTACGTTCTCACTAGTGCACTTAAGGTAGGAATTTCAACCTTTGAGAATGTTGAGATTGGCGTAGGGGTGTTATAGGGTGTTGGTAGTGCCATAGGGGTGAGTGTAAGTGGCGTGGGGTGAGTCTAAGTGCGCAGGGGTTGAGGTAAAGTGGCGTGGGGGTGTAAATAGCGTGGGGATAAGTGTAAGTGGCGCTGGGGTTGAGGGCAAGTAGGCGTGGTGGAAGGTGCGTGGGAGTAAGTGTAAGTGGCGTGGGGGTAAGTGTAAGTGGCGTGGGGGTAAGTGTAAGTGGCGTAGAGGTTGAGGTAAGTGGCGTGGGGTGAAGGTAAGTGGCGTGGGGTGTGTGGGTAAGTGACGTGGGGGCTGTGAGTAAGTGGCGTGGGATGAAGGTAAGTGGCGTGGGGTGAGGTTAAGTGGTGCGAGGCTGGGGGGTAGGGTAAGTGGTGTGAGAAGTGGCTGGGGGTGAAGATAAGTGGCGTGGGGGGGCTGGAGGTAAGGGTAAGTGGTGCATGGAGGGGCTGGGGTGAAGATAAGTGGCGTGGGGAGGGCTGGAGGTAAGGGTAAGTGGTGCGAGGAGGGGCTGGGGTGAAGATAAGTGGCGTGGGGAGGGGCTGGAGGGCTGCGTGTGTGTACATGGAAATGTTCTGTTATTGTCAAGGTTAGTGGAGTTTTACTGGCGACCAACACACACACACGCGCGCACTCTAACTTTCTCTTTCTCTCTCCTTTCTTTCTCTGTTCACTCTCTCTACTTCCCTGCTTTTCTGTTTATATTTGTCTACATTTTCCCTTCCTCTCTTCCTTCATCTATCTATCTATCTATCCATCGATTCATCTCCCCTTCTTACTCCCCGTCCCTCCCTCCCGACACTCACCTACCACCTTGAGGATGAAAAAGAGGGAGGTGGGAGGATGTGTGGTCAACTGACACTCGTAGGTGCCTGCGTCTTTCAGCATTACATCTCGTACTGACAGTTCCCACAGCTGAAAGTAAAGATGACAAGCGTTAGATAGACAGACAGACAGACAAACAGAAAGGGGAGAAGGAAGGACAGGAAGAAAACGGGGAATGAGGGGAGAGGAAGGAACAAAGGAAGAGGAAGGGATGAGGTATGAGAAGAAAGAAGGGAAGGGTCAGTATCACAGTAAGGATTTTTTGGTGGGGCAGAACCCAACAAATAGGCGGGACACATATACTGTTTGTCAATTATATATCTTACTAAGCATAAAAATTTACAGTTAATAAAAAGATTCTATTTAGGGAGGGCAGTAGGGCCGACAGGGAGGGGAGACAAATGAACACGTGTCCCTCATCGTGCATAAGATGTTCGAGTATATAAATATTACTTTAAACCTTTACTCGCATGAAACTTTCTCCTGTGAAGTATAAACAGATGTATGCAAATATAAAAACGATTCATCATTGTCAAAAAAAAAGGACAGTCAAAAGGCATTCTGAACTCCGCACTAATTAAAAGCCTGGTCTCCTGCACACAGTTATCTTATGTATCTAGAAGAGAAAAAAAGTGTCACAAAAACATCTCGATGAAGTTCCTAGGCTAACATTTTAGCAGGCTAAGTCAGACCTTTATTGCAAGTACTGTGTCGTTTTTCTTAATTTGAGGAAGGTGGAGGCATGCATGATATGCGAACTTTAGTTACAGAGCCATTAACTGGATGGCAGAGTGTTGGCTCGCATGGCTCGCTTAAAAGTCACAATAACTTCCATACATATGACGTTTTAATACAATGTGAACACAACTGCCCAATCACATTTTGTCGATGAATCGGATCTCTCTAATGTATCTTATCAGCTCGTCGGTGACTTTGTCATTGTCAGTAATGAGGCTCTCCACCGTAGAGGGTATTTTCTTCCATACACAGGCTTGGAGTCGCCTCCTCAGTATGGTGTAGTCTTGACAATGCCACAAGAGGTGTTTTATTGATAATGTTGCGCGACATGTATGACACTGCGGTGGAAAATATTAATCCATGTACGGGCCGAGGTGAGTAATAAAAGTAACATTCATCCTCAACCGTGCAATTACAACCTCTTCTCTTCTGTTATTCCTATATGCCGTGAACCATTCTTCAATTGTATGTTTGACACTGTGTGTGATGTTCAATACAGTCCATTTGCTTTGCCAATTTTGACTAAGTTTACTTAGGGAGAGACACCGTAGTAGCTCTCGGGGTACGCTTTCGGTACCCTAAGTTCTACTGCAGATTTGGCTAATCGGTCTGCTCTTTCATTACCTGCCATGTTGCAATGTCCGGGCACCCACACAGACAAATGCTTTTGTCAGTTGAGTGTAGTTTATTGATAATGTTGCAATGTATTTCATTCATTTCGGTTTGACCACTTTTAATTGCTTTGAGAGCTGACAGGGAATGTGAGAATATAACTAATTTATCACTATTGGAATTGTTTGCGTGGTCAATGGCCTTGTCGGCGAACAACTCCGCTGTAAACACTGTTATGTGGTCTGGTAAACGATATCTTGATTGATAGTTTTTGGACCAGATGCCTGCACCGACGCTAGTATCAGTTTTGGACCCGTCTGTATATAGACGGGCGTGGTCCCGAAACACCAGGAAGTGTTCTATGAATTTAATTAGTATCTCCACCTGGGAGGTCTGATTCTTCCTTGGGAGCCACTCAGTGGAGACAAATGGTCTCCTGACTTCCCAAGGTGGAATATTGCTTGCTATAGGTTTATCAGTGTCATTTAGCGAGACCCCAGTTTGTGTTGTTAAGTAGTAGAGGAGGGCGGCAAAGGAATTAAATCCCGTAAGGAATTCATAGCTACCGTGGACCACGGCATTCCATGCGGGATGTGAGGTCTCACACTTCCTTGCCACCTTGAACCCATAAAATAACGTTAGGTATTCCCTCCTCTGCTGTAATAGGGGGATGTTCGCCTCTATCTCTAGTCTCGAGATCCTCGTGCACTTGAGTGCTCCAATACTAATACCTCGGCATTTGTTCTGAATGACTGTCAGTTTAGAGAGTAATCTATTTTTTATCTAATTTGGGACTTATACAACATCAATAAAGACATAGGTACTTCAGAATGATAGCTGAATTGGAGGTTTTATTTATTACGTTAAAAATATGGCCTCTCCAAGTAAGGCGTTTGTTGAAAATTAGGCCTCAACTATTTTACCGAATTTTGAAAGACAACAGGAGTATTATATATCTGAAGTGCTGGCCTGAAAAGGGATCTTATTCGAGTGAAAACAACTCCTGTTCTTTTAGCCATCGAGAATCTAGAACCCCACCTCGTCGCCCACAGCTAAGGGGCAGAAAAAGCTTCTTGCATTCCCTCAGCTGACTTTTTTTTCACTGGAATAGCCCACCAAGGCACAGGTCAATGACTAATATCAGGGCTATAATAATAATAATAATAATAATAATAATAATAATAATAATAATAATAATAATAATAATAATAATAGTAATAATAATAATAATATTAATAAATATTAATAAAAAAATTAGATTTTAAATAAAAATATAATATAATATAATATAATATAGTATAATATAATATAATATAATATATAATATAATATAAATATAATATAATATAATAATAATAATAATAATAATAATAATAATAATAATAATAATAATAATAATACTAATAATAATAATAAATAAAAAATTTAATATTAAATAAAATATAATACAATAATAATAATAATAATAATAATAATAATAATAATAATAATAATAATAATAATAATAATATTAATATTAATAATGTTGTGAGAAACGATATAATTATGTATGCTGTGTTGTCAAAGTACGAGAACAAATTGAAACCCTGCAATTGTGTGTAAATGAGGCAGAAAGTCAGATCAGCAACCTGCATTGTGGCTGGAACACCACAAAGCACAATCATCGGTATGCATTAGCCCCTGTCTCATGGCAATAACAATTATATAAATTTGGGTGAATACATTTAGTTTATATAATCCAATCACCCTACTGTAATTTTCCATAAGCTGTGAGATGCCATGTGCTGTTCACGTGAGGGGAAATTCTTCTATCAGTAATCCGACTTTGAGAATGTAGGGTTAGCCAGGGTCTCTCCTTCAGAGCCTACTCTCACAGGCACCAGTCTTCACTTGCGTCTCACGAGAATCGGACGGGTGACCTAACTCAGTCAAGCTGAGCCCCGTCCTTAACTCACAGCTTACAGTGTTAATTACGGTGCATATACTAATAGACTGTGACCAATATAATTTTACCAATAAATGGAGAAAAAACTTATTTATATATAAGCCAAGTTAAGAGAAATCTACCCAAAGCTTATATAGGTATAGTGGGAAATCCTAATTCCCTGTGGCACGGGGGCTGGTGATAGAAGGACCAAGAACGCTGGCCTGGGGCATCCTATTCTCGAGGACAAATCTGTCCGACTTTACGTTATTTTTCGAAAGTTTGACAGTAAATTTAATGACGTCTTTTTTTTTTATAAAGTGTGGTAGATGCCCCCTTATACTAAAGCGTAAAGTTTCATGACAATCCCAGTTCGCTAAGTAATGTCATAGGCTTTTTCTATATATAGGAGTAAGCTAATTAAAAAATTTCTAGCTTTAAAAGCCTTTTGAACATCTGATTCCAACCTTACTAGATGGTCAAGTGTACTCCTGATATGGTGGAAGCCGCATTGTTGATCGTTTAGTAAGTTGTTGTTTTCTAAATGGAACATTAGCCTACGTTTAATTATTTTCTCCATGACTTTACAATTTGTGAGTGCAATAAGTCGGAACGAACTTGGGTTAGTAATACCGCCACTCCATTTTGGAATAGGCACGACATGAGCATATCTCCAAGAGACTACTGTAGGAACGCCCTCGATGTCCATGTATACCCCCCAGCAACCTGAGCAGGTGTGCCCTGCTCAGGGTGCTGTAGCATCTCGTATGTAAAACTCACGGTTTTAGTATTGCTTCTCCCAACCTTCACAGGACAGGGGCATCCTTTCGGCCCTCTCTTTCTCAAGATTAAACTGAGGATCATTGTTCGTGGAGCTATTAACTCGCACGAACTGGTGGTCTAATCAGGTGGCAATGTATATGGGATTACATAAGAACATAAGAACATAAGAATGGAGGAAACTGCAGCGGGCCTATTGGCCCATACTGGGCAGTCCCGTTTACACCCAACCCCTATTGCTCATATGAGCATCCAACCGAAACGCTGTTACAAATGCCAGCACTACGGACACACTGTCAACAAGTGTGAGGCGCAGGAGGACACCTGCTCCCTGTGCGGCAGCCCCGGACACCGCTACACGGTCTGCCCCAACACAGTAAAAAAATGCGCTGCCTGTGGCGGCCCACATTCCTCCGCCGATCGGACCTGCCCGAAATGGAAGGAGGAATGTAGGATAGCCAAGGCTCGACTCGACAAGAAACTGAGCTACAAAGAGGCCCTCCTTTCTGTACGCTCCCAAGACAAGAAAAAACCAGCAGAAAAGAAAAAACAAGAAAAGAAAACCCAAGAAAAGAAAACTCAAGAAAAGACACCCGCCACACAGAATCAAGAACACCACGAGGCCCGTGGAGCTGAAGCCCACGTGGTCAACCTCACCGTCTCCGACTTCTTCCACACCTATGAGGACATAACATAAGAACATAAGAAAATAAGGAGTCTGCAATAGGCCGGTTGGCCTGTGCATGGCAGCTCCTGTCGAGAGTTACTACCACTCTCTATCATCCATGAATCTATCTAGCCTCCTTTTGAAACTTTCCAGAGTTCCCGCACTTACTACATAGTTGCTAAGCTTGTTCCACTCGTCCACCACCCTATTTGTGAACCAGTTTCTTCCTATCTCCCTCCTAAGACATAAGACATAAGACACGAGGAAGACGAACAACAAGACCCAAACACGAATGAATGGACACTTCAAGAGAGCAAGAAGATGAGGAGAGTTAGAAGAAAATCTACATCAAGCTAAGAAGAATACCAA